TCCACTCATAGGGTTGAGTCCCACAATGTATTCAATGATATTTTAAGGCAACTCAAATACAACTGAATCCATCGTATGAATAACTAAACGTTCTCATAACGGAAGAAACATTTTCCTGATACAGTTAACCTAACATAAATACGATCGAATCCGTTAATTTTATTAAAATCTCTTATTCACTGAGTAGCCTGCCAGCATGTGACCATCAGAAACCGTTACTTCTGTGAAGTTCAAACCACAACGTCGAGAAGAATCTTTTTTTCTTCATCAGCCAGATCTCAGCTTACTTCATCTCGGAAGAATAACAGAACGTAGCGTTGAACCCGCTTTCGAATCTACACCCAATATGAAGACTTTTGGCTTAGTTTCCTATTTTTCATTACATTAGTTTATGAAGGAAAATCAACAGTTAAATGCACCTGAAGTCTATTTTCAAGCCTTTTTTTACTGCTGCTATTCTATTTGATAAGTTATATGCACGAGGAGGCTTTATATACTTTTAACAAGTGACGTTACTAATGTAGCCTGATATTTTCCTTTTTTGGCATTTGTTTCTTTAAAAAAACATTAATGAGCAGAGTACTCTTACTTTACTTAAAACCGTGTATTAGGAATCGGACTGTTGGGTAGATATATGTTAGTCGGTTTCCGACTGATGGGGAGTGATTCACAAAGTTAAGCACGCGTCGTGTGATGGGCCAAACACCATTGCAAATTATTTGTAAAGTCAAAGCAGATGAACACACACACAAACATTCTGCAATTATATGCGCTTTCCTTTTCCGCCTTTGTAAAAAATTTCAAAGAATATAAGACGCGCACAGAGTTGGCTCCTCACCTCCCCAGAAATTGGATTTAGGCATCGTGCAACGGCCGTGGAAAATCGGGTGAGTAGAAAGACTGGTGTGACCGGTAGTCCACTTGCGAACCTGTCCAGAAATCGTGTCATGAAGTCAGTGAGTTGGTCAGCACCCAGCCAATCCGAGGGTTGTATTTCAGGTATAGTGAGAGTAGTTGCGTCTGCAATGGCCCCTTGCGCCAGGCAGGTGGCGACCGGCAAACCCTTTTGGACAGGCGGTTCTTTCATCATCTGCAATTTTAGCTTTTCCTGCTCACTGAAGAGTGACTTTTGTCGATTGATTCTGACGAAGCCTCATGCCAAAGATAAGCATTGGGGGGGGGGAGAAAGAGATCGTATGAGTTCTGCTCAAGGAAAGACAAATCAAAGGATATTAGAGTAACTTATCAAACAGGTGCTCACTGTTTTGGACCACAGTTGCACGTTCCTTTGTCGGCTTTTGTTCTTGTTTGGCAAACTCTTCGAAGACTACCTGCAGTAGATTGTATACATGATGGAATGTGCAGATCAAGATTTGAGTGCGAGATTAAACAGGGATTGTAAGTTGTGTATTTTGTTCATTGAGTTGACTTGAGGTGAAAAATGCTATTTACTAGCAAAGACTTCGGATCAGGGCAGTTTATTGAGGCAAAACGGGGCAAAGGAGGGCCAAGTTCACCGTCTGTTGATATTCGCGGAAATTATTACGATATTAAATTCTGTGTTGCGTGTTCTACTATAAAAGAACATTAATAAAAAGCGGAAACCTTTTATTTTGAAGGTTTCCGTAGGCACGTCG